ATAAAATAATTATAGATCATGCATAAATGAATGATCAGCTACTCTCTGTAAAACCAAGTAGTATAATTAAGTAACAATAAAAGATTCTCTCCCTTTCATAATTAATGCATAAAATAGAGGATAAAATAATTATGCTCCATAGCATCACCAGAAACTATAGTCACTAGGTCGAATCAGCAATTTCGCCGGTCATTTTTGAAATACAGGAGACCGAAAGAGAGAATCATGCTTAGTACCTGCAAATAGGCTGTATCTGCAATAACTAGTAAGTTTACCTCAGTCTTAGTATCTAGGGTGAAAGCAGTGGTCTCCAGACCTGAACAATTGGTGTGTTTTTAAATAAAAAGGTAAAAATGAAGTTTTTTACATCAACTATTTCGATTACTGAATGGATTTAAGCGGTGACTCCTGAGATAACCTGAACATTCATATTGTAAACGAGAATATGCTTTGCTTAACAGATATACATATATATATGCACGAACAAATCAAAATCGTCAAATATTGACGTTTGATTTAAATATCTTGAATATAATACATACTATAGTATTCTATCTTAGAGAAGTAACAAAACTAGAAGATGATCGTCACTTAGAATGGTGAATTAGTAGTCTCCATCTGCATTGTGTCTCACACACGAGGCCACACGAGTGGTATGTGGGATATTCGAACAATTTAACTCGACTGACGACAACTGATGTTTTTGGTTAGTAGATATATGTTGATAGTAATTATAATTTTTCAATAGAATGTATCACTCTTATATTCTTATTACTTATAGATGCCTCTCCTGAAACAGGTGAACGCATATACATTTTTCTGCAATTGATTTAAAACTTGGTGTTACTTATTTTCGTATTTGTTAATGATTTCCTGCCTTGTTAAGAACATATGATTATAATTACTTTCAATATGCATATACTAGCCAAAAGCCCCAATTTTAGCCTGTTGGTCTAAACTTATCGAGCATTCTAGAAACCAATCTATTCTACTGTACGTAAGTAGTCACTATACAATTAATTAGTTCGACTCAGGCGTACTGTGGGGCTGCGATAGCAAAGCTCGCTGGCGCTGAGGTTGTAGGTATTATGGCAGACGATGAATTGAGGGTGGAAGATAAAATTGAAGTTGAAATAGTATATAATGCTGATATGTGAATGTTACATTTCATTGCAGTCTCAACTCAGAATGAAAAATCTTTCGCCGGACTTTTATCAATCGCCACAGCCGAATCTTAAAATGTTACGAAAAACTCGCAGACTGGTCTACAAGAAAATCATAAATTGACATATTTCATAAGAATTTAGTTATGACTTTGGCTTTACAAAAAAAACCTTAGTAGGTAGTAGGTAGTAGCAAGCTGCTCTTTCATAAGCTATTTGAGCGCGTCATACGACGAAGTAATTTGTAAGCTGACTCTTTGAGCATCATCTGATTATGTTGCAAAAACAAGATAAGTCTAAACAAGCTTAAAAAGCCTAAATGATGGTCAGGTCATTTACACACATACAAACAGACACAGACACCCAAACTCTGGCTCGGTGAGAGTGAGAGTGAGAGTGATCTAGAAACCTCGAAATCGTCCATATAAAACCAAAGTAATTTCAGCAGCATCGTATGAGCCTTTAAAATGTCAACTAATTTTTTACCATTTTCCTTGATGCAATGAGGAACATGATGGAACATGAAGAATTGAATTTCATAAGAAATTGACCATTCGGACTCGGCATCTTATACACGCACGCACACAAATATACACACAACCATACCATATCGCTCTCTAACCCTGGTTAGTAATGCTGGAGGGAGGGTTTGTCTCGAAAAATGGGGAATCTATTCATGTGCCCCGAAAAGGCACTCTAGGTCTGCGGAAAATTGACAAACAATGTGCTCACCGGCAAGTGGGGCTCTAATCACGTCTTGGTTGTCCAGAGTGACGATAAGCATCTCGCCATTGCGCTCCACGTTGATGATATGGTAGGCCCCATTGTTCGAGGGTCGCTGAAATTGGTACAGGTTTTGGCCATTAGCGTCAATTGTGACCCGTCCATCTCGCTGGAAAACAAATAAAAATAAAAATAAATGTAAAGTAATAATGATAAAATTAAATG